AGCAAACAAAGGATTTCACATAAACAGATCAAATAAACCAAGAAACAACTCACAATTCATTAAGAAGAGCAAATTACATCATAAGTTCAACCTAAGACAAAGAGGGCTACTTCTACCTCATCCCTTCTTACTAAAAATACTTAGCTCATAATGAGGAGCAAATTAAAAACCTACTTATAAAAAGAAAAGAAAAATAGAATAATAGAAAAAAATCCTAAGGAGGACAATGAGTCCTCTTTAAAAGCGCCAAAAGCTTTTTAAGGTTGTGATTTCTTCAGTATTTATAAGTGAAAGGTTCCTAAAAGGTGTTGTCTTGGCCATTGATTTAATCAATGGTACAGATTTCATCAGTTGCTCCCCAATAAGTGACGTGCTCTTGTCCAAGTCAGCCCTAAATCCTTCATTTAAGCTTCTTTTCTTCCTTCGTTTTCTGAATTTTTGGTGATGTAGTGCTGCAGAAATGTTCTCACCTTTCCTCTTTGCTATTGTTGATGTGTTGACCAGCCATAGGAAGCTTTTTTGAAGAAAAAAAGGATGCTGGTATAATGCTTTTTCTGCTCCTTCTGATTTGTGTCCTTTTTTGTCTCCCTTTGTCTCATTCTTCTTTCTTTCTCTTAAAGTTTGCTTTATTTATGACTTGGCCTCTTGTAAATGGTTATTGGGCCTCTTAAAAATGAGAAATAAAATCTTAAACTTAAAAGTAATAAAAATAAACCATTTTTAAAATAGCAAGTTGCTCCGGCTCTGTTTACAGAAAGTGTTCTTGGATGAAAATTTGGAAATAAGCAATAAAAATAGCAATAAAAGGTAGGAAATCTAACAATAAAATACACAAGATAGCTATCAACTTTTGAGAGCTATCAAATACATATTTAAATTAGTAATTTTAATAAAATATTTAGATTAAAAATTATACAAAATTTTGTTTTGGAGCAAATAAATCAGACTCATATTTTATGTAAAGTATAATAAAAAATGGGTTTAATATCTCTCATGTTGTAGGAGATAAAATCATTTCGTACACACACATAAAAGAGTGTGAGACTCATATTTTCTTTTTCTCTCTCTTCTCTTCACATGACCCCACATGGGTCTCATACACTTTTATGTGTGTGTATGTAGGAGATAATTTTATCTCCTATAACATGAGAAACATCAAACCTAAATTTTTTTCTTATTTAACATATAATGATTATACGTCTTAATTTTGTTTTAATTATTTATAATAATATTTAAATGCATTAATGATATATATATATATATAGAGAGGTAGGATCGTTTGACACCGGTGTCAAATTTGAAGTTTGACACCTCATCTGAGAGTCGTTAGATCAAAAAATATCAATGGTGTCACATGCTCACAAATCAGAGTCGTTGATCTTTTTTGATCTAATAGCTCTCAGATGAAGTGTCAAACTTCAAATTTGACACCGGTGTCAAAAGATCTTGCCTTATATATATATATATATATATATATATATATATATAGAGAGAGAGAGAGAGAGAGAGAGAGAGGTTATTTTACTTATTTTGACATGTTAAAATTTAAATAATTCAATTTTCTTATATTTTTGTAAGCAGTAGTTATATTTATTTCATAACTTTATATACACACTTAAAAGAGAAAAATTATGATAACTATAATTTATTTAGAAGAATAAAATTATTTTTTATAGAAAAAAAAACTATATAATTTTTTTTAATATTTTGGTTAAACATAATATTTTTAATTTGATGTTAATTATATTTTGATACTTTTTTCTCCTTAAGTTTTAAACAATATTATATTTATATAAAAGTTAATCTTTAACAGTTCATTAATTTCTTTTTAGTCAAGATAATTTTATAATTAGTTTGACCATTTCTAATTAATAGTTATTAAATAATTCTTAGGATAATTTCATACACAACACTAAAATATAGGTTAGGTTAAAAACATATAATAATAATAATCAATCCAGACAAAATCACAAAATCAATACGTGACGCATCCCTTGGGTCCGTTGATACGTCGCGTTCATTCATATCTGAACTAACCTTGGACAATTAGAGTCACGCACTCGTTCGTACATGGAAGCCAACAAGGTCGCCAACTGGCTAGCGTCTCAAGCTTGTCCTTATGGATGGGATTTACAATACAGATCTTCCTTTTATCTCCAGTGGGCTGTCACCAAGTGCTAGTTAATGAAGCAATGGATGTGGGTACACCCAGTAATATGCTTTACTTAGCGAACAAGTCGTTTGTTTTGTTGTTTCTTTAGTTTCATTTTGTTCCGTAAAAAAAAAAAAAAGTCAATGATTTTATTTCACAATTTATTTAGCTTCTGTCTCTCTTATACGTACTTGTCTATATTTTTGAACAACGCCGACATGGATAAATAAAGGATTACTTCTTTTAGGAGGGAAGTTTTCTTAGGTAGAGAGACAAATAAAGTGAGGTTCAGCAATTTAAAAAAAAAAATATATATTTTTCGATGTAAGTGCAAGATGTGATATCAATTTCATTTAACATAATAGTATGATTTCTCACAGAAATATTCACTTTAAAATTTTGATAGTTAGGTAAATCTAAACATATATTATTTTTAGTTTAATTATTTATAACACTTAAACTTTATTATTTTTTATTTTTTTTATTAGAGAATTCATTATTCTATAAAATAAATTAATTTAATCTCTATTGAAAACTTTAAAATTAGATAAAAACTCTTCTCATCTTATACTAAGTAAAGTTTTTATTTAATATGTTATCTTTATATAATGAATTAATGCTTATTATATTAATATGGCTCATGATTATTTTATACAGATATAAGTTACACTCTCATTCTTAGTCGTTGGTCCTATATATATATATATATATATATATATATATATCTAACGGCTTTTATTTATTAGGTATTTGAACGGTTAGTTGTCAATATTTGGTATAAAACTTCTTATCACTCTTTTAAAACCTCACCCCGCCCCTCGAGTTGACCCGGGTCAACCCTGACTCCTCCTCTATGATGATTGGGGTCACAAGTTGGACCCTATATGCATATCAACCCCTTCGACCCCGCCGGGTTTCAGTGACTCCCAGGTCAGAGGGGTCAAAGGGGTCACTGCATGTTTTTTTTTTTTAAAGAAAATTTCATGAAACAACGTCGTTTTATTAAAAAAATAAAAAATAAAAATGCTTGCAAACCTAATGGAATCTTGGTGAGCCTGAATTTGATGATGTTACTTTTCATTAACTCCATTAGAATATGAGTTTTGTACTTTGAAATCTTGATACTTTAATTCGGCTGTGTAATATTGACTTGTGGTTGATTGGTTGTAATTAGTAAATTATGTTAAGTATACTTTGAATCTTTGATGATTGGTGATTTATTTTTTAATATTTTCATATAGGATATATATTTATATTTTTTTAATATATAAAACGGGATCAGCGTAGTGACCCCGTAACCCCCCGGTTGAACTCGTGACGCCTGACCTCGACCGGGTCGATGGCCGGGTCGGGTTTTTAAAATAAGAAGTCTTATACCTTTGTAAGAATAACATATTCCTGTTATAGACCCATCTTAGAGGTCCATATTCTAGAAAGCTCAAGAAGTATAGCAGAAAGAGGAAAATAAGGAAAATAAATGAAAGAATCCTTAAATAATATTAATCCTAATATAACAACAATGGACCTAGCATTGTGCACCCAAAAAGCTACTAAAGGTCCAGAATTCCATTACTCATATGTAAACTCTATAAATAAGAGGTAAAGTTTACAAGTATGATACTTACACTCTCTCATTATTTATTGTTACTGTGCACGCACATCACCATTTGGCTACGTCATTATTATTATGAACAGTATTCCACTTATCTCAAAGATATTTCTTCCATAGATATTTGAGAGAGCCTTAGATCCAAGATCAATTCCTAGGATAGAACAGTTTCTATTAATATTATTAGTATAAGTTAAATTAAAATATATTACCAATGAGATATATAAATGTAAAATTATATAAATATTATTCAAGTATTTTTTAATTAAAATTTCTAAGAGTTATGGGTGACGATTCCTGCTGACGAATCGTGTTTGGATCAACATGACATGAATCGTGTCGAAACCCACATATATGACCCTCTTTTTTTTTTTTTTTGGAAATAACATAGATGACCCTCTTGCTACAATAGTTGATACGACATGATCCAATGTCAGATATTTTACTTTTCAAATGAAATTTACCTTAATAACCTCACACTAAAAAATAGTGAGATAAATAAGAGTGTAAATATATAATTATATAATTATTTAATTTAAACTGGTCAACCCGAATTTATGAATATCCCTAACATGAACACAACAGGAGTTTTTGGGATAACTTTTTGATTAAAACGATCACGAATACAGGTTAATAAGAGCATGTCGTGTTTAGGTAGCGTTGGCGTGTCGTATTAAAAATTATTACCCCTAACCCTAATAAGAACATGACTAATGTCGATTTTTATTTTCCTATAATTAATATTAATACATGTGATAAAATATAACGTTTCCTATTGTATTAAACTTTAATTGCTATATGTTTATGAATTTAGGAAAAAAAATTGAAAGGTTAGAGTGTATAAAAAGTCACCAAAGAAACAAAAGATAGGAATGAAAAGTAAAAAAAAAAAATTGAAGTTATAATTTAAAAGAATTAAACAAATTTAAGAAAAAATTTCATGTAATGATTTTAGTATAATTCTTGCATTATATAGATACATTGTAGATTAGGACACTAGAAAAATGCTTTTCTTAGAGTAATGTGTAAACTTATTTTAATTAAAGCAGAAAACTACACTAGTTTGGAAGAGTCAGTACTATAGTATTACTTGGGATACATATCAGTGTTTATTATAAAAATGATTAGACTTTTGGCACATTCGAATGATACAAAAGAATTTCTATAAATAAATTCGCAACAATGGCTTGATTGCCTCACACATAATACATTTCCCAAGAAAAGCCAAGTGACTCAAGAATGGCTCTTCTACCAACATCAGTTCTAAAGCAATTGCTGCATGAGCTAAATTCAACACATTACTTAACTGCTTTCTTCTGCTTCGTAAGCCTCGTGTTTATGCTTAAGCTGAGAAGAAGAAACAAATCCAATTTTCCACCATCACCGCCGAAGCTACCCATTATTGGTCATATTCACCAACTAGGCACACTCCCACACCACTCCTTCCATGCACTTTCTCACAAATATGGCCCTCTCATGATGCTGCAGCTTGGCCAAATTCCTACTCTTGTGGTTTCATCCGTAGATGTGGCCAAAGAAATATTCAAAACCCATGATGTCGCTTTCTCCAGCAAGCCCCAAACCACAGCTGGGAAAATCATTCTCTATGGATGCACTGATGTGGCTTTTGCACCCTACGGCGACGATTGGAGACAGAAAAGGAAGATATGTGTTCTTGAGCTTCTAAGCCTTAAAAGGGTGAGATCCTTTCAATCCATTCGTGAAGAAGAAGTTGCACAACTGGTTGATACGGTACGTGAGGCATGTGAAAGTAAAAGATCCTCTGTGAATCTGAGTGAGATGTTGATTGCAACCTCAAACAACATAGTGTCTAGATGTGTTCTTGGACAAAAATATGATACTCCAGATGGTAGCAGCAGCTTTGGAGAGCTAGGAAGGAAGATGATGGAACAATTAGCGGCTTTCAGTGTGGGAGATTTTTTTCCTTCATTAGGTTGGATCGACGTTCTTACAGGCCAAATATCAGAATTTAAAGCCACTTTCCGTGCATTAGATGCTTTCTTTGATGAGGTGATTGCAGAACACAAGAGAACAAAGAGAGATGATGGCCAATCCGATAATAAAGACTTCGTGGAGATACTCCTTCAAATTCAAGAGGGTGGAAAGTATGATTTTCAGCTCACCCATGATAACATCAAAGCACTCCTAATGGTCTGTTTCTCACCCTATCTACTTCTTATATCAGCACCTTAATTATCCACTTCAATATAAAGATTTTACATTTTAATAATTTCAGGACATGTTTGCTGGAGGAAGTGACACTACTTCAACACTTTTGGAATGGACATTTGCGGAGCTCATGAGGAATCCAAAAGCCATGAAGAAAGTTCAAGAAGAAGTAAGAAGAGTCGTCGGGTATAAATCAAAAGTAGATGAAAATGATGTGAATGGAATGAATTACTTGAAATGTGTAGTCAAAGAAACTTTAAGATTGCGTCCACCTGCTCCTCTATTGATACCTCGAGAAACATTATCTGATGTGAAAGTAAAAGGGTTTGATATTCCGTCCAAAACAAGAGTACTTGTGAATGCATGGGCAATTCAGAGGGACCCTGAATTTTGGAACAGAGCCGAAGAGTTTCTTCCCGAGAGATTTGAAGAACAGCCAGAGGTTTGTTTTAGTGGACAAGATTTGCAATATATACCCTTTGGAAGTGGGAGAAGGGGATGTCCTGGAATATCATTTGGGGTATCTTCCGCTGAGTATATTCTTGCTAATCTGCTATATTGGTTCGATTGGAAGCTGCCCAATATTGGTGTAACTACGCAAGAGATAGATATGAGTGAGATATACGGGCTCACTGTCTGCATGAAAGTACCGCTTCGTCTTGAACCTACACTATACTCATTTGGATCTAAGCCTATCATGTGAATATTATTGGTGTCTTGAGCGATGTTTGACCTTTTTCTTTTCTTTTTTTAGACTTGTCGCGTGTAACCTTTTTCTGGTAATGTAATTTGGTAAAAAATAAAAAATAAAGGGCAGGAATGTTCAGGCCTTTGGTAATCTAGCTAGCTAGTTGGGTGTATCCTTGCGCTGTAGGTTAATCCCTCCCATTGTAAATGGGAGCAGAATCAAGGCAGCATTTAAGAAAAATAGTTTTCAATTTTTTTTTATTTTATCACAATGGTCATTATGTGGCCCTTTGTCTATTATACCTCAAATGATGCCACCTACATTAAAGGAAAACAAATTGTTGTGATACCATGTGATTAGTGCAGTACAAGGAGCCACTCCATGTGCTCTCTTGTATAAAATATCGCGTGGACTAGTCAGCTGGCAACAGGTCTCTTCCTTCACTTCATCTCAATATAATATCCAGAAGTCTTTTTTTTTTTTTTTCCGATGGAGGCATAATGGGCTTAGGGGTGGCAAGTTGATACCATACGAATATACTTAATATGAATACCATTTAAATTTAAAATTAATTTAAATTTTTTTTACAAACATAACCTATTTATTTTGTGAAATAACACAACATAACACGAATAACCTACAATCTTAAAGTATGCCACTTATTATGCGGTTTGAGATATGACAGAACACAAATATTGTATTATGTTGGTGACGGAAATTTTTTTTAATCTCCCGTCCCATCTTAAATTTTTGTGGTCCCTCTCACAATCCAATTTTTTATTTTCCCATTTTATCCTTGCTTTGATTTTTCTTTATCTTTTTTACCCTCTCATATGTGAGTGGCAGTATCTAGAAATTCTATGGGCCGGACCAGAGAATTCTTTCTCCTTGGTGACATATATGTATATTGACCTCGGATTTCAACTTCATGCACACTGTTGACTTAATCTGACGTCTCCCAACATGCATCTTTATGCATTAAAGATCCAACGATCGAGGCTTTTTGTGTAGATCATAAGATTAACATACCATGGACATAAAAAATAAAAAGGATGCACAAGCAATTCCTTAAGGATCGCCACCTATAAGTTATAGATTTGAACTGAATAAAACAATAAGAGCTAAGTGTTCTCTCTTTTCTCACTCACGTAACACACATATATGGCTTGACAACCGTCATTTGAAGAGTAATATAAAAGAAATGCTAAAGGGCTAAAAATAAAATATAAAATACTGGGCAAAGGATATGAAAGAACAACAATTCCATGTATCAGCAACTTCAATTTCCAATAACACAGATTGCATCTTAATTCTTCGCCGATAGCCTAGCAACAAGAAACACCAGACTGAGAATCATCAGCATTTTAGATAATTGTATAGTCAACAGTTATAAGACGAACAGAAATATAAGTCATAAAAAGGACATGCAAGATCACTCAAATCACATCATCAACTGTTTCAAGCCTTTCAGAGGAGTAATATGAACAATAATATCCATCATATGATTAATATCAACAATATCTCCGTAAGTTCGTATGCAAATGAGAGACATCACATTATATTATAGAAAATAAAAGGCCCCAAAATACATTAAAATAACTACACGGTGAAGCTGCAAATGTAAGTGATGGGAAGAAGAAAAACTACATAAATTGGAATAACATTGAGACGAAATAAGATAAATATGCCAAAGAGCATGTACTAACTCCAGCTATCATTTACTAAATTCAAACACAACTAATTATAATATGTGACACAATCAAAACTTGCTGAAATCATCATCAAAACGGACACTATTTCTGCACTAGCTTGACATTTCAGTTGAGTATATGACTGACCACTCAAATAGCCTTTGTTTATTTAGAAGAAGCAAGACATTGATTATTTTCCCTAAGCATAGGTAAACTCGACCCACCACCAAAGCTCATCATTCCTTATAATTGCATAATTCAATTTATGGATGACTAAAATGGTCAAAAAAATTGGAGAACATCACTTACCCTAATTCTTCTTGTCTGTTTTTGTTGGTTGTGTTTCCATGTTTTCACACCAGTCACCGGGGAGTGACAGTAGACTCTCTGTATAGAAAGCTGGCTTCAACAAAATCATAAGCTTAGATATTTTGAGAATTTCCAACAACTCTCCTTTGTCATTAAATTTCATCAAACTGTCATCACTTAATGCAACAAGTTCACCACCTTTGGCGGACCAAATGTGGGAGAATTTCCTATCAGGAATCTCAAACATAGTCCAAGATGACTGCACTTTATATTCTTTCATCAACCACACCTGAGTTTTATGTAAACCACAACGGTAATACCATACACTGAGACATCCACCCATGATTAACAAATCTCCAAACGAATGGTTCTTGAAATCACCAATATCTGGAAGAGATATCTCTGATAGTTGTTTTTCAATCAAATCAAAGACAATAATTATTGGTCGTTCAATTCCAGGGAAAACCAACCAATGAATAGCCCCATTAAAGAACAATCCATCATGATTGTAGAAATTCATATGGCGAGTAAGGGAAATCTGGATTTTTTCCCCTGAATTGGTTCTCAAAGAGAAAAGCAACATGTCCATGTGGGTTCCCTTTCCAACAAGCCATAAACCAACTACCAAGTAATCATCAGTGTATGGGTCATACCCAAAACCAATTAGAAGCGTACGAATATGGGAACGAGGAAACTTTCGTATATTATCAGGAAATGATATGGTCTGTGTGAACACCATGCTGTAAATATTGGTTATTTAATTATTATTATTTGTTGTATAGGGACAAGCCCATTAGGTCAAGTATTAGGTTTTTCAATCTCTATAAATAGAGACCTCTTTGTACATATTATTTACACAATTCAATAATATTTGATAACCCTTTTTTAAGTTGGTATCAGAGCTCTCGATCCTGAGGGCTCTGCTTCTGCGCCTATTGTCTTTTTTTTTTTTTTACAAAACCCTAATTTCTTTGCCTCTTGCTGCCATCAGCCGCCACCAGAAATTTTTTTCCGGGGACCTTTTGGACCAAGGGGACCACTGTTGACTTTCTTTTTCTTCGTTCTATCCTTCTACGCAACGTTCCTCCGCCACAAACGACCCAAACACCTCCGACCGCCTTCAACCAGTTATGTCTTCACCGTTTGGACCCCTTTCCGGCGACTTTTCAACCGCGACCACCCACAGACAGGTGCGCGCTCACCGGAAGACCACACCGGAAAAATTTCAGCCGGAGAAGCCTTCCCACGCGCTCTCACGCGCCGCTTCTTTGTACGCGAGTGAAACCTACGCGCCGCTGCTTTCTCCGGCGCGTGGAGGCGCGTTTGGCGGTGGTTTTGGACCAAACAACCACCATTCTTCTCGTCTCCTTGTCTTCTTTCTGGATCTGTGTTGTTTTCTCAGATCGTACATCGTTTGGTATTTTTTCCGTATTTTTTGGCTTCTTGGAGCTTTTCTTTGACCATTTTTGTGCAATATGGCCTCTTCTCAAAGGAGTTCCTTTACAAAGTTTTATGATGGTGCATCTTCTAGACCTAAGAGAGATGATCGATGGTGTTCTTATTATAAAAGAACAGGTCATGTCAAGGATTTATGCTTTCGCCTCCATGGAAAGCAAACTGTCTTAGAAAAGATGGCAAGGATGCATGGTCAAGCGCATTTTCCTTCCTCTGAAATAACTCCTGCACCTAATGAGACCCAACCTACATTTCTTCCAGATGAATTGGAACGACTCCGAACCATCCTTGATTATCTGAGTAAGCCATCTGATACTAGTGCTTTAGCTATGACTGGTATGAGCTCCAAAACTCATTCTTTCCTTTCTTCATGTAATGATTTTAAACATTCTTGGGTTGTTGATTCTGGTGCTTCTGATCATATGGCTTATTGTGCTGACTCCTTTACTTCTTATCATCCTACCATTGGAACTCATACGATAGCCATAACTGATGGCTCACATACATCAGTTGCGGGTTCTGGTGACATAAACTTACAACAGTCCTTACATCTTAAAGATGCTCTTCATGTTCCTAAACTCTCCACGAATCTTCTTTTTATTCATAAAATTACAAAAGATTTGAATTGTACTGTAACCTTCTTCCCTACCCATTGTGTTTTTCAGGATCTCGCCACGGGGAAGACGATTGGTAGTGCTAAAGAGCAAGGTGGGCTGTACTATCTAGTGTCACAATCTCCCGCAAATAAAGTAACATATCACATCTTCATGTCTCATGGTCAATCAACTGCTGATTCTTTGATTTGGCTTCATCATAAGCGTTTGGGACATCCTCCTTTTAGTTTACTCAAGTCTTTATTTCCATCATTGTTTTTGTCTAAGTCTGTTGAGTCTTTCCATTGTGATGTTTGTGAGTTTGCTAAGCATCATCGTGTGTCTTTTCCTTCTAGTAGTACTAAGAGTGTTGAACCTTTTGATCTTATTCATTCTGATGTTTGGGGTCCTTCTAAAGTCCCTCATGCTTCTGGAAATAGATGGTTTGTTTCTTTTATTGGTGATTGCACTCGTGTAACTTGGGTTTACTTAATGCGTGAAAAGTATGAGGTACCACATCTGTTCTTTCAATTTTATAAAATGGTTGAGACCCAATTTGGTAAAAAAATCAAGAGACTAAGAACAGATAATGGTACTGAATATGTTAATCACAGTTTTTCCCAATTTATACGAAATAATGGTATGATTCATGAACTTACTTGTGTTGACACCCCTCAACAGAATGAGGTTGCTGAAAGAAAAAATCGTTACCTTCTTGAAGTGGCTCGTGCATTAATGTTTCAGACACATGTACCCAAATACTATTGGGGAGATGCTATTCTTACTGCAGTATTCTTGATCAACCGTTTACCCACTCGGGTACTTGACCATGTAAATCCTATTCATTCTATAACTTCTTTTTTCCCTTCTATTCCAACTATGAGTCTTCCTCCACGAGTGTTTGGGTGTGTTGCTTTTGTTCATGTTCATAAACACCATCGCAGTAAGTTGGACCCTAGGGCTATTAAATGTGTTTTTCTTGGTTATGTTCCCGATAAGAAGGGCTACAAGTGTTATCACCCTGGTAGTAGGAAATTTTTTGTTTCTATGGATGTTACATTTCAGGAATCTGAGTCTTTTTTCCAAGGTCCTCATCTTCAGGGGGAGAATCCTTCACCAGAAAGCTCATCACCTCCCTTCTTTGAGTCTTCAGTGTCTACTCCTTTACCTGTGTCAGTGTATCCTCCTCTTGTCCCTATTGTTCCTGTTCCTTCTGTGTCTGATTCTCTTGTAACTAATCCTCCTGTGACTGATACATCAAGTTCACCAGAGATACGGAAGATTATGACACCTGAGTTGGTATATCAAAGAAGGAAACAACCCACATTGCCTCAGCAACAACCTCAATCGTCTGAACCACTGGTAAGTCCTAAATCTCATATTTCTGATCTTGATGTTAATACTTCTGATGACTTACCCATTACTACCGATTCTGATGATTTACCCATTACTCTTAGAAAAGGAAAAAGATCTTGTCCTAAGAAATCTTGTTCCTCCTGTCCCTCTTGTACTCAATATCCTATCTCCCATAATGGGAAGCTTACTGTGCTCCTTGTATATGTTGATGATATTATTATCACAGGTGATGATTTTGTGGAGAAACAGATTCTGCAAACACGGCTTGCCTCTGAGTTTGAAGTCAAAGACCTTGGGAAACTGAGATATTTTCTAGGGATAGAAGTAGCTCATTCAAGGAAAAGAATTTTTATCAGCCAGAGAAAATATGTTCTTGATTTTCTCAAAGAAGCAGGAAAGCTCGGGTGTAAACCCTCTAATACTCTTATTGAGCAGAATCACAAGATAGGCTATGAAGAGGAGAGACCTCCAGTTGATAAAGGACAATATCAACAGCTAGTTGAGAAATTGATATATCTGGCTCATACTAGACCAGACCTAGCTTATGCTGTTAGTGTTGTCAGTCAGTTTATGCACGATCCAAAGGAGAAACACATGCAGGTAGTAGAGAGAATTCTTCAGTATCTTAAAGCTACTCCTGGTAAAGGATTGTTATTCCGACGTGATGGCAATCTCTCTTTAGAAGTCTACACTGATGCTGATTATGCTGGATCCGTGACTGACCGTCGATCTACCACTGGTTATTGCATGTTTCTCTGTGGTAACTTAGTGACATGGAGAAGTAAGAAACAAGATGTGGTTGCCAGATCAAGTGCAGAAGCTGAATTTCGAGCTATGGCTCAAGGCATTTGTGAGTTACTGTGGCTGAAAATTGTTCTTGATGATCTCAAAATAAAATGTGAGGGACCTATGAAGCTGCTATGTGACAATAAGTCTGCTATTTGTATAGCTCATAATCCGGTTCAACATGATCGGACTAAACATATTGAGGTCGACCGCCATTTCATCAAAGAGAAACTTGATAGCGGGTTGATTACCACTCCATACATTCTCACTGGGCGTCAATTGGCTGATCTGTTAACAAAGGGACTTCCTCCAGACAGATTTCAAGAACTTACTAGCAAGCTGGGAATGATAAATATCTATTCCTCAGCTTGAGGGGGGTGTTGTAAATATTGGTTATTTAATTATTATTATTTGTTGTATTGGCCCAAGCCCATTAGGTCAAGTATTAGGTTTTTTATTCTCTATAAATAGAGACCTCTTTGCACAGATTATTTACACAATTCAATAATATTTGATAACCCTTTTTCAAGTCACCATTTGATGGATTCCATATATAGAGAGCATCTGCGCATCTTCCCATGAAAAGAAGAAACCCTCTGCAGGAACCCAAAACACCAAAATGAAAATGAAACAAAGGAGACTTTGGAAGGCTCACGACAGTAGAATCATCATGAAACGACACGTCAACATCGATTATTTGAGCTTCGAATGGTTGTTGGGAGATTTAATCGACTAAATCTCCCTACTTAATCGATTAAAAAATCATACTGACTTGTTTTCCTTTGTTGTCTATTGGGAGATTTAGTCGACTAAATAGGGAGATTTAGTCGACTAAATCTCCCAACAACCATTTTTGCCTGTTTTGTCCATTTAGTCGATTAAAAATGAAAGCTAGTCGACTAAAGAAGGGCAGATTGGTAGACAGTTTCGAATCAGGAGCAAAATAGTTATTAATTAATTAATAAGAGGCAAAAGGATGAAAAAGCCAGATATAATCGACACTTGGGAGATTTAATCGATTAAATTTAATCGATTAAATCTCCAGTCAACCATTTTTGTTTATTTTGACCATTTAATCGATTAAATATTCAAATTAATCGATTAAAGAGGGGCAGATTGGTAGATAGTTTACATTAAGGGGCAAAATGGTTATTAATTAATTAATGAGGGGTAAAGGGTCAAAAAGCCAATACTTGGCCCTGTGTTATTTTTTTTATCTTTTTTTTACCATGGTTGTGATATTGAGTTTCGTTAGATGTTGTCCATAGTTTGTTGCCTTTGATCCTCAATGCTTATCTTTTTTCTTGCCACTTTGATGACTCATCATTCTTCTTGTATGACTTTATCACATATCTTTAATCTTCACATAGGCATGATGCTTTTTTTGCTCTTGACCAAGGTTGTTCTCTTTTTGTTGTTGTTACTTCAGCATCGCATCATACCTTGTATCTACAATAATTGCATATAATTAAGCTTGGATTGAAAAAATATACTGAAAATGATAAATTGTAACAATTATAAAAATAAAATAAAATATGTCCTACAAATT